GCTCGTGCTCTCCGAGGTGCTGCTGCGCGGCGGCACTCCGCGACGCGACGTACGGCCGACGCGGGCGAGGCGGCCGCGTGTATCTCCCAAAGCTGCGGCACCCGTTTTTGTTCCGCAGGCTGCTTTATCCCGCGCGCACCATCATTCACGGCCACACGTCCGTCACGGACGGTTCGTCCGCGCGGTCCGTGCTCGACCGACACCGGCGGCCGTATACCTATGACACGGGAGTTATACGCGTCGTGCCGTTGATTATCGCAAGTGTTGGGATGTTGACACTGCGCGAATAGTCGACACTCATCCCATCCCTCGGCTTTCCGTTTCGCGGAGGAGACTTGCTTGCGGCGAGGGTCGTGCCGGAAGGCTCGCCGCGGAGCTTACCTATACCGGAAGTCGAGCTTCGGGAACAACAGCGGGGACGCCTCGCTTTTTCGACCTCGGTTCTAGGTTGAACCTTATACACCAAAATGCAACCAAGGATGCTTTCAGATTCCATGATAACAATCATAATTTCAAGCTTATCGTAGATCAAATAAATCTTATTACATTGCACAAGTAGTATGCAGATGTATATTATGCATTTTCAAAAGGTTGAAATATGTTTCCTCAATAAAATTGACACTTAATAATGTGTTAAATTAACATACACATTTGTTTTGTATTCATTTATACTTAGAATTTATGTTTTAAAACTGTAGGTTACTTTTATGTAATTTTTACCCAGTTAGTGATAAATTGTGTTATTTTAACATTAAGAAATGTTAAACTTAATAATTAAAATATGGATATGTTAAAAATTTAACGTAAAACTTTAAGAGACATTTTAGAGTTCGATCGTTTTGACACAAGTACGAAACATATATCTTCTACAAATGAAGCTAACGTTGAACATGATTTATTATACATTCTATGTATAATTAATAATTCCTGAGACATATATTAAGCATGTTAAATCGTTCCATTTCAAGGATTGAAATCTCTGCAAAAGTTATGACAATAGCTAAAAGGATTTCGTCGACTGGTTCATGGTTGAGATCGGAGGCTCCTTTGTTCCTACTTTTTAGTTTCCCTGCGAAGAAGATATCCCCAAAGGAAGGAGGCTCCGAGGCAACGCTACCGCCCAGGGAACCCTTTTATTGACGGTGATAAACATTTTTATGAACCCCACGCGAATTACTACTTTTTATAACTCTGTCGCTCGATCTGTCGCTTTTCTTCAATCCCCAGCGTTTCCTCCCTCGACGTCCGCGGAAAGTTTTTCCCCTCTTTAAAGAATTTCAACGTCAACGGAAGCTTGATGTAGTCTTGAGAGACAGAGAGAGAAAGAAGAGAGAGAGAGAGAGAGAGCTCTGACTTTAGAGCTCTCGGACTTGAAAACGTAGAAATTTTGCGATTTAAATATTTACGGAATCACAAGTCTAAAATTAAAGGCAAGACTCGCGAATAGAGTAGATGGCTGAATATATTAACACCTGCACAATTTTCATCCTCTTGGATCCTTGAAATTTGGACTTAAAACTTATAGCACTTTTAAATCTTTAAGGCAATAGTGAAATAATCATGTCTTGCAATTTCTCGACTTCAGAAAGATAGCGAACGGTCTTCTTACGAAGCAGCGGTGTTGTTATACGTAAGATGAAAGGCACGATTTAGCCAATCTCGCGACGTATATGATATATTTTGAAATTGATCGGATCGAAAACAACATAGTATTTTTATTTATTCCACACCAACGACGCTGCAGCGCGACAACGTTGCTGCCGTAAAACAAACGCATCCCATTTAATTCAACTTCATGACATGTAAATCCACGGTTTCCGGGATCCTTAGATCCCGGGCGGGATTATAATGTGCCGCTCCGTAGTCCCCTCTGGACTGGCGCGCACGTTTCATATAATTGCGCTATAATAGCCATCGCAGATGTCGGCTCGTTAAATTGTTAATACATCGGGGAGGAGGGGAAGGGGCGGGGAGGGGGAGGGAGGCCGGAAACTCCCCGAAGTTAATTCTGCAGCCTTCTGGCTCCGAGCAAGAGGAGAGAAGTTTAAAGAAGTTTCGCTCGATCATTTGCTCATCAGAAATTAATAACGTCCACCGGACCGCCACTCTCCACCCCCTTCACTGTCTCCTGACACGTCGTCGACGGATTATCGACGATTTTCTCGCCTGATCTCGCCTCTTATCCGCGAAGTTTGAATATTTTTCAGCAATCCTCTTGACATTTTTTTTTTTTTCAAATAGTCTCTTTTTGAACTTTCGGGCTCCCTCTGCCTTCTTAGTTAATTCCGATTCCTCATAACGTGGAATTTTCTGCGCTTTCGCCATAATTTGTAAAGTGAGCCTCCAGAAATTTCAGAATTTCCAAACCGGAGCTACTACCTGTGTGGATGACGGCAGTCGAGACAAGGTTCAACGACCTGAGATATCCTAGGATAGACAATGTGAGGAAAAGCCTGGGAAAGGAAAATGTAGACAGTCTCATCTTGTCACTCACCGGAGTGTCTCGGAGTCTGGGATAGGAGGATGTAGGATAAGGGAGAGGCAACGATTTGACGAGGATATCGTAACGTAATAGCGCGTTACGCGTCCCCGAGCCCTCTCTTTCACATATAAATTAGGGAGTGTAAACCGCGACGGTTGTCGATATGCGGTGCACTGCGATATCTGTCATCGCGTACACACCAGTGCGGCCGGGCGAGTAATTAAATAAACGATGCAACGCAGCGGCGTTAAATGAAATTAATTATATGATAAATATGACTTTTCTCCCTGTTTTCGTCGGAATTATTTAACGCGTATCGGAAATCCATGATAGCGTGACAATTACAAGGGGATACGTGTGTGCCGGGGCGGAAATTTGTGCTTGATATAAAGCACACTAAGCCAACGAAAGTAGCTGTTTAATATCGGAATACATTATCAAGTATTTGTGTAGACAAATTCAATTATTTCGCCGAATCTGGGACATGAAATGTTGTTCTTGTAATTATTAATTTTTAACAGTGGTTATTTTACTCTTATTTCAGTGCGGAAATTTTATTTAAATCTTTTTATTAAAAAATTACAATTTCTGTTAATTAAAAAAGATCCACTGCAAAAAAATCGCAGGATGTGGCGAAAAAAAAATTCATTGAACATTTTTCTGAAGCATTTAACAGAATTAGACTCACTCTCTCACGACCATGTATATTTATTACGTGCGTATCATTAGATATCAATAATTTTCGACGATAGTAAGCGGGGATTTTCCTAGGATTGGCTTAGAATGTCTATATCAAATACAAACTGCGCTTCGACGCGCACGATTTTACAAGCGAAGTTTTGTCGTGCAGCCATTAATAATAATAAACGTCGCGACATCGATAATGACGGCGCTCGCGAAGCCGAGGACGGCGGATAAAGATGCGCGGACTATTCGAATACGAATCGAATCGAATCAAATCGAAACAGGTAAGAATTATCGATTTGATACGGATTTGAATCTTTATGATTCGAGTCCAAACTGTTCGAAAATTTCGAATCTGAGAGGTTTGATTACGATTCACACATATCGACAATCTCATAAAATCGTATTGCTCGCTGATAAATAAAACATATAAAAATCTCTATTTTTATTGTTTATTTAAAATTCAACCATAATAATAATTTTAATCATAATAATTTTAATCATAATAATAATTTTAATTGTTAATTAAAAATTAATTAACAAAGATGTGTGAACTATTCGAATCAAAAATCAAATCTTAGTTGATTCGATTTAATTCGGATTTGAATTTCCATGATTCGTATGCATATCTATATTCATATAAAATTATATTTTCCGTTAATAAGTAAAATAGGTAGAAATCTTTTTTTATTATCCATACATATATTAAAATTCAATCTATATAACAATAATTATGTTATCAATTAAAAGTTGTGTTTCAACGAGATTCGATTTGATTCAGGAAAAAAATTTTGTCGGTTCGATTCGATTTGGATTCGAGCAAAGAAATGAAATTCGATTCAATTCGATTCGATTTGGCGTGAAAAAAAGAACCTTGATTCGCACATCTTTAGGTGGTAGGAAGAGGGAGAGGGCAGACTCCCCGGGGCACATACGTCTTCGCTTACTTTCGACGCGTTATTTTATTACGCCGCCCTAAATTTGCTCCGGAGTCGCTTTCCGTCTACTCCGAAATTTTCCTCTCTTACGACACAATCCACACGACGTCGCTCTCCAATACTTTACTTTTACTACTTTCTGAAATTAGCCCTCTAAAATCAGCTCAAAGTGCTATACTTAAATACAAATCGCTTTCTAGCTCTTATAAGTTAATTTTCCAAAGTGGAAAACACACAACAGGGAAATACATACGTGAAAATATATATTGGAACGTATTATAACTCTTTTAGATCCAACTATAAGATATGTATGTCCCACAGCATATCTAAAAAATCATACCGCTATTAAATATTAAGATTAAGCCACTAAGTTTAATATAAAGTTTGTTTTCATGAAAATTGTACAAATTTTAACTAAAAAATATTATTTGTAAGATTTACAAGATTTTAAATATATAATATAAAGATTTAAATATATTTTATTTATATAAAATCTTATATAATCTTACTAATAAAATCTTGTATAATAAAATTTTCAATTTCTTGGATAGCCATGAATTTGGCGCGTTTTCAGCATCACTAAAAAAAAAAGAAAAAATCAGATTTGTGAAATTAAGTTCGGAGGAAGCTGTTTTAAAAATACCTTTCATCCTTTCTACGTTCGAAAACAAAATTGAATAATCTCATATGTTTCTCCTAACGGAATCTTTGCAAAATCGTCCGTAAAAAAGAATCGCAACGACGCAGACACACGCGGCGAGACACACACCCTCTTGGCTCAGTCGACGCGCTTACCCTCCCGGCGCCGCTTTCGCCCTCTTCCGCCGCCGTCGCGACGTTCGCAACCCCTCGTTCGCGCGGTGGAGGCGCACGTTTACGAAGGGCCAGTACGCCTCCAGCCGTCGTGGGGATCGAACGCGGCGGCGCTTCGCCATTCCTCGCGCGTGAGCCGCCGACTGAATTTCGCGATTCGAGTACGACGATCCGCCGATCCGGCGGATTTATTTCGCGCGCGACGCCACCACGGCTGCCCTAAAATCGTAGACTTCCCTCGTGATGTCCGCGGGAGACACGTGCGCGTGTGTACACCTGCATTGAGGCACGTCGCGACGTGATCGGCTCGAGCGACAACAACCGGGGCAACGCGTCCTCCGTTCTCGATCTGTACAAGCGAACGCGATTATCTCGATTGCGAGCAAGGATAATAACGTGCGAGCGACGTTCGCATCGTTAAGATCGAGCGTTGAGCAACGGGAAGCAACACCGCACGCTCGAGAGGTGTCTTCGTGTACTTTCGGAGGTGGGTCCGAATTTTTTGGAACACCGCTTTCTTTTTACGCGATACTCCAATATATCCTCAGATCGTCCGCGATGAAACCGCGAATATATTTTTGTCGTACAAATATATATAACATATTTTACTATTGAAGGTAATTCCGCGGTTTATTTGTTGAATTTTGGATTATTAATGTAAATCGTTAATATCAAGGAATGATAATATGTTTGAGCCGTCTCTCCGCGCGAAAATCTCCAAGAAGATGAGTGTGCGGGATTCCCCGGCGCCGCGCCGCGCCGTGCAGGACTGTATTCCTATATAATCCTCGGATTCTTCATCAACCGCAATGCCGGCGACGTGCTCGGCTTGCGACGATATTTCGGTAATTCCGTGCTACATCAGTAACTCGCGCGCGGTCTGATCCCCAGTGAGCCTGATCATAAAGAATAATCCGGTTGTTAATACGAGCCCGTTTACGGTATCGCGAAAATGTCGAGGGACGAGGATTTAGAAAAACGTTTTCAAAGGGTGGCCTCGCGAGGCTTCGCGAATATGGATTTGCATCGCCGGATCCGACACGATTACGATTTCCGCGTTACCGATTTGCGGTTTCCCATTTGAATCCGGGGAATTCTTGGCGCTTTACAGGCATTTGATACGTTTCCTTTAAATATTGGCTGATCGTCCGACCTTGCATTCGAGTCGGTTCCTTTAGTTTCCCTCAAATATTTACCAACTGCCTGCAGTTTTCGGGGTGTATCCTCGGGATTTGTCTGTATAAGCGCATCTTTCTTCGAGGTGCTTAATCCTGGATACGATCGTTCTTCCCGCCTTCAAATTCTTTTCCTGAGATTCATGATCTCAAGATCACGTCGCTCTTTCAGTTTCTCGACGCTGCAGCAAAAGTAGCTCGGCTACTTTCGAATAATTGATCGTAATATAAAGAACAAGGACTGTTTTACGTTTCATGTGATTTCTAGACCATTGAATTCTTCAATATTTCAAATTTCCGTTACTCAAATTCTCGAAATATCGCAATTCAATGCGTTAGATAATCACATCAACGTGTCTGTAAATGGCACCCTTATAATGAATTTCACTGCTACAAAAGCTGTAACATGATACATTTTCGTGTTGAAGCATCCTGAATTCAGTCATTCAAATCTTTAGGCCTGTATCTATATTTCGAATTCGAACTTTGACAGCTTTTACATTGTTCACGCGATTTGTCATCGACATCGAAATTCCGCGCGAGTTTCAGTGATTTCACTTCCATTGTAAATAACTCAATCATCGCGCTCTTGTATTTTTTTTTTATCCCCCCGCAGTCTTCGATAACTCTATTTTACAAATCGTTGGATCCATTTCAAATATATTACTTTTCTAATATCAAACGTCTTCTCACATATATATTCGCGTCATCAGACGCCAACACCCTTTGGCTCGGATATATATATATATATATATATATATACATAGAAATCTCGGATTTTCCCGCATAATCTTGCAGAGGGTCGGAGCACACTCTCCGCGTCCGCGCCGCTACATTCACCAGGACCTCTATGGCACTGTCCAGGACGGAGAGAGAGAGAGAGAGAGAGAATGAGAGAGCGGTCGGTCGTGACAGTAGAAAAATATCGCGCACGGCGCTCGCCGCTTTTTCCGCTTGACGGATCGCGGCGGCGCGGGGAGGGGGGTGGGGGTGGGGTGAGGAGAGACACGGTCGTCTGACACTGACACGTCGGTAATGACTTCAAAGAGATGTACATACACAGGGTCGGTCTGAATTACGGATGTGCCGCCGAACCGCGCATTTTCAATCCCGCCGCGCTCCACGGGACGCTCTATCGGGCTTTAAATATATCACCTCGCAGCGGTCCGTTTTTCTTTAATGCCGCGATTATTATACCGAGGGGAAAGCGCGGAGAGCACACGCGCACGTATCTTCGGCAAAACTTCGCCACTGTTATGAACAGCGAGCGTTTTTATTCGCGATGCGCCCCTCCCCCGCCGGCCGGCGCGGAGACGATGCGTTCCGCGTACGAATAATAAATACGTATTCTATTGCGAAATAAAATTACCGCGGATGAACATTCGTCGTGGCATGCGCACGACAAAATCTACATTACACGCGGGCGATATATATCCTCTTCCGTGGAATTTAAAAATTGGCGCGTGCCTCTCTTTCTCTCTGGAAAACGTTAAAACATTCGTCCACCGCAAAATCGTTCTAATGCAAGGTAAATATTTTCCCACGCGACGGGAATTGTTTTGCGCGAAGCAAATATTTTTCCGCGCGACGCAATCGTTTTAAATTGCATTCCCCTCCCCCCCCTCTCTCTCTCTCTCTCTTCCGCTATTCCCCTCTCTTTATTCTCTCGCTCGCTCCAATTCTCTCTTTCGATGAATTTCTCGATTGCGATCGAGAGAATCCAAAATTTTCACGTCGCGCCGCGTCATCTCCTCGTGGTGGAGGGAGGGGGGACGCGACTTGCCGCTTTTCAATTGAAAAACATGTAATTTGTAATTTCCCGTGGGTATAACTTCCCTGGGAGATACGCGGGTCGACACCGCCGAAATTAGGTACTCCGACGGTATACAGCCAGCCGCGAATCCCGGACGAGATTTTAACGAACGTCCCCTTTCGCGTCGCGTCGCGTCGGGTTTGATCAGTGCCCGCGGACGCGGAAATCACTCGTCGTCGCGACGTGGAAACTGGGGGGGAAAAAAAAATCGCCGCGCGCGCGCGCGATTTCACGGTGGACTCGTTCCGCAGCGCCGCGCCGGTAACCGCGAGCCGTGCTGCCCGGATCGAGCTTAATTAGCACGGCTGCGTGCCCCGCTGCCGTTCGTTAATGATAGCTGCACACATCGCAGGGGTGTGGCGCACGATCGCGCGCCGGTTTCTATAAAACCCGTGCCGTTTGTTTACCCTTCACGTCGGCATTCGAGCGGCGCTCGAGAGGAACATCTCGAAGGCCTATACCCCTCGCGTTAAAGGGTTTGCGCGGAATAAAAGGGAACGGCGGGGAGCCGTGTATTCCACAGTACACGGTTTTCGATAAATTAAAATTCTTATTATTCTCCGTTCTCTGTTCCTTTTATTTTATTCTACATTATAAGCCCCTTTCGGATATGTACATACAGATCGAGGCGATGCGAACTTATACACTCCTCGCGTGCAGGTATAATTTCAAACGGACGGCGTTTCAGGCGACTGACAGTTCGAGCCGGACGCGGAGGGATTCCGTACCGAGGCTCCGCGGTATACGATCTGAATATCTCCCGCTCCTCCTCTCCGCCCCCTCCCTCGTGAATTCTCTTCATCGAGACGTTCGCTCGTCGCTTATCCGTCTATTCATCCCGGTCTCGCAGCTGCAGCCGTAGTCCCTGAAAAGCTCCGACGTAAACGGCGGCGGGATCGCGGGAAACGTGTACAAGCAGGACTCGCGCGACTCGCCGGAGAACGGCGGGGAATAAAAAAAAAAGCAGACAGACAGACGTATACGCTCTCGCGTTCGCCGCTCGCGTATGCGACCGACCGTTTTGTCCGCCGGTTCCGCAACGAGACAGCCATTTTTATCGATGATCGCCGCGTCCCCTTCCCACCCCTTCCCTCCTGATGTTCGATTCGACCGGATGTTCCGGCACTGGAATGCGTCCGCAATAAAACAGAGCCGGGACCGGCTGCAGCAGGGGCTGCTGCTGCTGATCGCGCTGGGAAGTGTCGATGGAATGCGTTTTCAAAACCCCGCTGGCTGTAGGACGGCGCGGCGCGGCCGAGCCAATTCATTTTGCCGTTTTAACTATTTTTTGAATTCTCGAAAACATATATAACCGACGTTAGCCACGCGGTTATTGCGGAGCGTTAACGTAACGATCTTGCTTCAACGGATGCACATTTGAGGCGCGTTAAGGTTTAGTACATTACGTATGTATGATATTAGTATACATTTTTTGCAAAAAGCGATTACATTCGGAGCAATTTCAGCGTCTTAAAAATTTGTGTACCGAGTTTTTCTTTATCAATATATAAAAATTATTACTATTAATTAATATTTCGATCAAAATACTATTAATTAGTTTTGCTAAATTAATTTTATTAAATTAAATTACCTGCATTATAAATTACAATGAATAACAAATTTCATCAGCTTTTGTCTCTTAACAAATAATGGCTATTTCTTCTAAATCTTTTTACACTGAAAAAGATATGAATTAAAAAATCCGTCATCCTTCAATTTTTAGAAATTTTATTTTGAATTTCTCATATGTAATAACGCAAATTCGTAACATACGTAAAAATTTAAATATTTTCTGTAACATGTAAAAGTAAATATGTGTGCAATGTGGTATTTTATTGTTTATATACAATTTTAAAAAGTGACATTTTAAATAATAAAATTTATCGGCAATATTAAATGTATTGTACAATTTAGTATTGTAATTTTATAAAAAATTATTGTGATAAAAAAATAAAAAATACAGTAATAAGCTAAGATTTTATTCTCGGTAAAAAGGAAAAAATTTATAAATTGTTTGAATTTATAGAGCTTTTTCAAAAAATTAAATCCTCGATTCTTCAAAATCCGTGAGGAAACTTCCTTAACGATTTTTTCTCAGCAAAAATACATAAGAATCACTATTAATGTATTGAGAAACAGAAATCTTTTGTAAATCAGTGCTATTTATCGTCATGTTCGATTTCTTAAAACAGAATTAAATACACGTAACACATGGACCTCTTGTGCTTATGCTGAAAACAGACGGAAGGGGGAGGGTGGGTTGACAAAGAGCTTTTAAATTGCCAGAACTTTTCTCTGTTTCTCCTTAGTCTTGAAAAAGAAAATAAAAGAAGGGGAAAAAGGGGTGGAAGGGCAGAAGGGGAGAGCGCAGAAATCCTGCTGTGGAATTTCTGGACTCTTGGCCGGTCAAAGTTCTCAAGAAGGAGTAATTGCAAAAGGAAAAAGAAAGGGAGCACGCTGCGGGCCCCTCCCCCTGTCCCCTTCTCAGATTACGTAGTACGGGAAGTGTGTCGGGGACGACGGGGATGGAAGGTTTCCGTCAGGCGTGAATCGCGGTCGGTTCGAACTTTTAATTACGTGATACTCGGGACGCTTGAGTGAGTGAGAGGGAGGGGGGGAGGGAAGGGGGAAGGCGAAGGAAAGCGGGGAAGGTTGAGAAAGGGACGGGGGGGGGGAACGAACGGAGAGAAAAAGACGTGGAACAGACTTTAAGCAGCACTCGAAACTCCTTCCTAACAAGACCGGAAATCTGTCGAGGGCCCTCCGGGAAATGCCGGCGCGCGGCGGGCGCGCGCGCGGAACTATACGCCGTTTTTCAATTAATTAGTTCGGGGCGAAAGAATGACGCTGTAATTGCAACTGCCATCTGCAGCGGACATAAATCGCGCGCGCGCGGGCGCGGGCGCGCGGCTATTATACAGGTGGTGATCGCGTCGATATAGATATATATACATTGCGCCGCAAAACGGATACTTCCGTGTTTTTTGGTGTTTTCACTATTTTTTTTTTTTTCGCGGCTCGCCGCTCGTTCCGAGCTCGAGCCAGGAAGCAATTATTGCAGCTATTATTTCGTTGTCAACCGTCGGGAGCGGGCGATTTTTATCGGCGCCCCTAACAAATCGGAAGATACGCCGCCCTCAGCGCTGCTGCAGTTTCAAGTTCCGAGCGGGTGGCGAAAAATCAACGGATAACGTTTCCAAACAGTTTTTCCGCGTGCTCTTCGCCGACTCTAATTTGCGAGCGAGAGAGAGAGAGAAAGTTACTCACGGTAGCGTAAGAAGTTTCTCCCTTCAGATTACCGCGACGGCGCGTATCCTCGTTCGGTGATCGAGTATCCGCAAAGTTTCATTCGAGACAGACACTCCCCCTCATTCTCTCGGGAAGGATTATTTACGCACGCGTGTGTAAGGACACGAAGTGCCTGCTCGCACCTTCGGGGGCGGGAGGGGAGGAAAGTGGTTAAAAAGTCGGAAAAGTCAAGAGATGCCATCCATCGCGCGGACGCGACAGCGATAATGGCGGTTCGTTCCTTCCGCCCTCCTCCGCTCCCTCTCAGGCTTTTTTCCCCCTCCGAGCCGCCCCGCGATAAGGGCAATCGGAATTAATTTCTTCGAGAGCGAGCGAACGCGCGCGCCCGTTTTAATGGTTTTCCCCACATAACGCGAAATCCATTAACGGCCGACCGTTCCTCTCGGAAGAATTCAGCGTTCCTCTTTCTTTTGCGCGCGGCTGCGTTCCCTCGCATTTCTCTGATCCCACGTGCAGATACATACAGTATTCCCGGAATCTTTTCTTCTCCGAATTCCACTATGCTCCCGTTCGACGCGTTTTTAGATTAGAAATTAGGAGGGGAAAAAAAAGAGTTATTACGAGAATTCTCGATCCAATTTCTGCTGAAGAAAAATTGAATCTGTTGACGGGCTCCGAAAGTATATAGCCACGAGGAAGTGCAAGCAGTGCCGTATTAAAAAACATATAAGACTGGATAAACTACAGCTCAAAACAGCAAATTTTTGAGGGCGACAAACTTTCGAGAGATTTTTTTTTAGTTGAGCGTTGAAAAATATTTAAAAATTAGAAAATATCGAATAAAATGTTTATATTTAAAAATTGTAATTTAAAGTTTGTCTCTATATATTCAAACTACTCACAATCAGTGTATAAAGTTGACACAGAAACAATCGTGTTTTCTAGATTACTTTAAATAAATCGTTCATATATATTCGAATATCGCTAATATTGAATTGAATGTAATCTACTTATTATATCTTTCAATTTTTTAATTCTTTCTATATTTAGTTTTAGTTATTTTTTAGTTATTATTTAGTTTTATTTATCTATATTAGTTTTTTGTTATTCTTATATTTTAAAATATAAATATAAGATCTTTTAAAATAAGATCTCGAGAAAATCAATTTTCAAATTCATCTTCATCCTTTAAAAATTGAACTGATATATAAACTTCTGAAAAAATGTTTATCCAAGTAACATTGCAAAAGGAAATATTTTAGCCCACAGACGTAAAACAGGTTAATGCGGCGCTAAGTGCAAGACTTTCGTCGAAGACAATGCGAGCGTATTAAAGCTGCAAATGAAAGAAGAAACGAGACGAGATAAGAACTGATAAGAATTCGCAACTTCTCTAAAGCTCCTCTCGTTGCTCTCTCGGTTGTGCCGTGAAAAGTTCACAAAAAAAAAAAAACAAGTCGAATAAAATTCTGACGAGTACGTCGAGGTGCTGCAGTGCCTCGAGGGAGGGACTTCGTGGACATGAAGGACGAGAAGGATCGTCGGGGATCCTTCGCGTCGAGAAGGTGATTCGCTAACGATGTCACTCTGAAGACCGCTCCGTGAAGTGAAAAGATGTGCTGCTCAGGTGGCCCAGGTGGAATCAGGCTGACCGGATGCGGCGTCGTCTGCGGCCTTGCCGCGCTGGCGGCCCTCGGCGTCGCTCTTTCGGGCCCGACCTGGCTACACACCGAGGAGAAGCTCGCCGTGCCCGACGTACCGAAGAATTCCGCGGTCAGCGTGAGATTCAAGCTGGGGCTCTTCAGAGTCTGCTCGACGATCGTGAATCCCTCCAACCTGACGCTCCGTGAGTACATAACGCTTATTCTCTTTATAGCGATTTGAAAATATCGATAGATAATAGATCAAGAGGACGATACATTTTTAGGGTAGATCTCAATCTAAAATGTGCAATGTAAACTATACATGTAAATCAAGTAATCGTTTAGTTTTTTTGAGTTACTGAATAATGATAGCAGTTTTATTTATCTAAAGCTGTGGGAAAGTGATAAAAATTTATTGTGGGTATCGAAAATTTGTCTAAAAGGTTGAAATAAAAGTCTTCTTCGATAATAATGTGATTATTAACATTTTGTTTGAATTATTCGATTATTTGTATTGTAATTTACTTATATAACTTTTTCTATTAAAAGCTAATTGTAAAATATCAAAATTATATATAGATTTATATGAAAAATAGCATATCAAAATTAAATTACTTTAATTTAATATGAAATTTTAATTTAATATGAAAAGAAATATCTTAATGGCTGAACCGTCGAGTGGGCGTGTGACGTTCTGCCTCAAGAGGCACCAGAAATGAGCTGGAATCATATCTTTCGCTATCATCATAAAAATACTTTTTAAAAATTTTTAGAGGCACTCACACATTCTAATTGAAATATATTTTTCTTAAATAATTAAAAGAAAATTGTTAAAAAGCTTTAATACGAAAGACTAAATAACTAGAACAAAATGTAACTATATTATTATAAAAAAAAAGACTTATTTCAATCATTTTAAGACAAATTTTTATTTTTTCTCGGATTTAAACAAATAAAACTGATGCTCTCATATTCAACAACTTAAAACTATAAAATTACACGTATAATTTATGTTAGTAAATTTTTAGGCCGAAATCGTTCTATTTAACTCATCGTCCTTTAAAAGAACATGAGACTCCAAAAAAAAAGAAGAAATATTACATGATGGTTTCAATTATAGTTCGGCATCAGTTAACGTTACTTTGTTTTATTTCTGTAATTATTGTGCCATTTAACGATTTTATGTTCTCTCACAAGATGCATATATATATATATATATATATATATATATATATATATATACAATAAACATCGTACATATAATATAAGTCACGATTAAAACCCCGACTTTAATAACTGTGACTTTAATAAATATTCACGCTCTGAAAAATCGTGGATTTCACGAGATACTTTATGGCTGCAGGTACCGCGAGTGTTCTACCTCTCCCGTTTCCTCGACGAAATCTCGCAACGCGACAGGTCTCGCGGAGGGATTTTCAGGAACGACGAGGAGTAAACGTAAAAACAAATGACAGCGGTTGTGAAGAGCGCGCGCGGTAGGGCAGGGAGGAGAGAAGATTTGTGGGAGGGCGAGAGAAGGGTTGAGTGGGAAGGAGGTGGGGGAGAGGAGAACACGGATCCCACGGACGGCGGCGGTTACAAGGGTGGGTTGCAGCCGCCCGGACGATGACAATTCCTTTTTACTTCCCTCACAGCGTCTCGTCTCTCGCTCGCTCAGGCTTTTGACTTTTATTTCCCTCTCGTCGACCTTATACCGTTTCTTCAATCCCCTCGCCTCTCGCGTCGCAGGAGGGTGGGAGGGGGAGAGTGGTGGTTAGCTCCAAACACCGTTCACTACCTGTACACCGTGCACGGAGGCGTACTTAAATGTATTCCGCAATCGGGCGATCCATCCTTATTGTTCCGCGCTCTCTATATATATTGGGTTTCAGTTTCTTTGAGGGGTTGCGCGGCCGAATCGTCTCCTTCCTCCCCCCCCACCCTTACCGTCGTTATTTATTCACGGTGATGGGCGTTGTAGCATCTATCGAGTTAGTGAAGGTTGGTCGCGCGTTGCGCGAGAAAGGATTTTTACCTGCTTTTCCTTTCAGTCTTATTGAGATTTGTCGCGGTACGGCGAGTCCATTTAGATTGAATAAAATTTAATCTACTGCCACGCACTGCACTGCGATTCTTTACCTCGTATTCCCACACACACACACACACACACACACACACACGCACACGCACACGCACACGCACACGCACACGCACACGCACACGCACACGCACACACGCACGCACGCACGCACGCACGCACGCACGCACGCACGCACGCACACGCACACGCACACACACACACACCAAACTTTATTTCGCAATAACAAACTCATGCGGTACCATCCATTTATACTCGGCTTAGGCCTATTATATATTTATTTATGAATTGTTATTACATCAAGCTTGTAATCATAATTAGTTTTTATTTTGCAAACTTGGCCGAGTGTGGAGCAAATAATTATTCTCTGGCAAGTCAAGTTAGCCGTCGATGTTCGATCGCAAAATTTTGAAATCAAACTTTAAATTCTTATTGAAAAAAGAAGGCGGACAAAAAGTTTTCGATTCTTTTTTTTTTTAAATATAGCGGCAAAGGGATTAAAATGAGAAAAAGCGAAGTTCCAAGCCGAAGCTGACTAAGCTTTGATATATAAAGATTGAAATAATTCAGGCTGAAAGTAAAGTGAAAAACTGAGATTATAACTAAGGATTTAATTACAAACTTTTAGATAAAACGTAAGAAACCCAAATAAAATCATGGTGAATCTATGACTACGATGAAATTTAATATTAGGTCAAGGTTTCGACAAACCACGCAAAACTGAGAGAACAAATATCTTTCAAATGAATTGATCAACTCTATCCTTCTTTTTTTTTCTTAATTTGATGATATGACTTGAGCGTAGGGGAGAGAATGCGTACCACTTAAAATATTTTTTATATTTTACTATTTAGAATGCAAACGAACGTTGAAAAATGTAGCTTGATGTTCAAGGCATCTAATATTACATGTTAAATCTTTCACTAATAGCAAATTAATTTGTTCAAAGCTTTTTTGTAACATGCTGTCAAAAGCACGATTGATCAGCAAACCGATCGCCTAAATCATATCTGTGAGTTTTATAAAGAGTATCTTCTTCTAAACTATTAAGTTTAATGAATAAAAATAATTAAAAACACAAATTTGATAACAGAATCATAAATTAATACCTACTTTAATTGTAATTTACCAAACAATAGCTGTTTTGCTTACGCAACTCGATGACGGTTTTTTCCTCTACAGACTTGCTACAGAACAACTTCGATCGTGTTAAAATAAATAATGTTGATTATGTCATGTGATCTAAAGATAAAGATACATTAGTGTTTCTAAATTGTACCGCTATAAGAACTCTTATGCTGCAGGTTAAGTTAAATACGATTTAGAAAACTTGACAGAAATGATAAAAATATTGATATAATTTTTATAATAATTGTAAAAATGTATGTACAATAAATGTAAAATATGCTTTTATAAACTTTCTTTTAGGAAAAAATAACAATTCAATTAAAATTGCATAGTTACATTAGTATCAGCTATATAAATTGATCAAAAATTTACATCACGTGTGTCTGATTTTTTAAAATGTTGATAGCATGCACAAAACAAGACGTAACCTGTTCATTTTTTGTCTATCTTACACATTTCTCATTTATTTCATATTTTTGTTACTAAATGTTGCTTCTATTAAGTGGAACTATAAAATATTGAAGAGGCTTTATGAGATGACCGGTACGCATTAGGGCAACTCTCCCATACTTTTAAAATTTTCACGCGGAACAGGAATTGAAAACACTCGTATGTAAAAATTATACAAGAGTGCGCGAGAATTCGAGCTAAAGGCTGTTGTTAATTATCGGTTATTTACGCGGGGCAAAGCCAGGCGGGAGATTTATATTTCGGCGAAAACGCCATTATCTGGCTGCATTGGGAACCTGTGCACGCAGCGATTCCATAATGGAGCCGCCATTCGTGCGCGTATTATTCGACGATTAATAAATGATTTTATCCGCGGTAATCTTCTCAGCCGCGCGCGGCTATAATAATTAATATTAAAGCTAGCGGAAATACCGGCGGAAATCGACTTTCGTCGAATTTCGTCCGCGTGTCGTCGATGATTTTCTCATTATATGTATTATTTTCTAATACAGAATTTCGGCAGCGTACGCAGACGTATCTACATGTGTATCTTCAAAATCATAATTATCGTTATACCGATTATACGCTCGAAACTACTCGAACGCGATATTTTGTCACCGAGCGTCCGCTGTAATCCCCCGTTCTCGCCGACGCCAACTTTGAGCTTTAAACGCGGAACGATGCGGCGCGATTTTGACGTTATTTCATTTCGATAATTTGCACGCGCTCCGGAGAGGGGTAGAGGAGTGAGGGGGGAGGGGAAGCCTCGGGATTGACCCTCTTTCGCGTCAACTCCGCTAAAAGCCCCGGAATATGTTACGGCGGACGGTAACTGAATTAAATTCGAAAGTTCTGCTCCCCGGGAAAACTAGGAAAATCCTCGCTGCGGCGCGCAGGGCCGCGGGGGTTGATTCACCTGTAGGTAGCCGTGCCCTCAAGGCCGCGCCCTCCCTATTCCCCCCCTCCCCTCGCTCCTCCCTTAGGAGAGATCGCGCGCGTAAGTTATTAGTTCAAATGAGAGCGGTGAGAGAACAGCAGGGAAATACTTTTAAGCTCGGATGAAGAGAAACGAGCCGACCGCCCTCCGCGGAGACTAGTAGATTCAAAGATGGCGGGTACCAAACCGTGGCCCCGCCGTAAATCTTCGCCGCCCTTCCGGGGGCGATTTTTGCCCGCGGAACCCATCCGATAAGCGATCTCAACTGCAAGAGAAATGTTTGATTCCCGAAATGCGAGGCCATATATAATTCACGTGTTGTTTTACAAAATTCCGTCGCGTTTCTCCTAAATTTTTTAATATGAATTTCTAACTGTAATACAGGACGGTCCGGAGAAACGAGAGAAAGGAGATTAAGAAGCAGAAAATTTAGAGGAATAAAATGAAAACTTAAGAACTTCGTCCAATTAATTTTAATTACATTAGAATAAAACATAATATGCCATTTACAAATTACCTTACTCTTTTTATGTCATCTTTAAGATGGTTATCAAGCGACGTGCGATAGTGTCGCGACGCCAAGTGCATAA